GCGCAAACTCAGTGTGAGTTTATAAAGGACAAGGAGGCAAAGGGGGTGAAAGTAAGTTCTCTCACAGCTCAAGGATCACCTCTAACTCACCCTGGAAGGAGCTTCAGTTCCCCCACCGCAACAGCCCCCTCTTGTGCCTGTGCATATGAACTGCTTTCTCAGAACTGGGAATCAGTCAGTCAGTAATCTTCCAAGGTTAGTATTTCCTAATGATGGGTAGGTATCTCATGTGTACTACCTCCCCCTGGTGGCAAGGCTCCCTGGGGAGCTTCTACCAGAAGCCTCTACAGCAGTGATTTCCAACTGGTGTGAAGCAAGAATTTTTCAAACGTGCAATTCCTGACTAGTCCTGGTACCCACCTCTTTTCCCTCAGACTGTCAAATGTAAAAATGACAACTGCCAACACAACAATGTCCTATGGTGTGAATGAATCAAAATTATATCTATTTCTCTTGTCAGATTAGCAAAATACATATTTTTTAGTGTGATGAGAAGTTGTAGTAATTAGTTTTCCGTGTTGTGAGATGAAAGAGATTGAAAATTGCTGCTATAAAGGCTGAATTATTTTTAGTCACTTGGGGATTTTAAAATTATGTTTGTGACCTTTTCCTCATAGAAATTGTCTATAATCTCCCCTCGATGAAATTCTTTTACTATCCTTAGCATCTTGTTTTTCCATGTTTGATGGCTGTTCAGAGGGCACATTATTTATTGTTTAGCATAGAATTTGGCACTAAATAGTCCTTTGTTGGGTAAATGTATTAATTAATATTTATTGGAAGAAGTTCTATGGAATGACTATCAAAATTATTCTAAATAAAAGCTTCTATTTTTTGGACCACAAATAGAGCAAAAGCATCCTCCAGTGAAGATAAATCCAAGATTAGACATGTGGGCAAAATGCAAACAGCACACCAACCCTCACTCTGCATCCTTCAAAACATAAAAGAAAAATTCACAAATGTGGGACAGGGAAAGCCTGCCTGTGACAATATGGCAGCTTGCAGCATGTGTCACGTAGTTGTGCCATTTAAAGGAAAAGCAGTAACTCAAGGCTGGTATAAATATGGGCGTGAAGAAGTATTAGGATGGCCATGAGAAATGTGAAAAGTGAGAGTTATGTCTCTAGGTATGTAATGCAAAATTCAGACCAAAAACACAAGTTTTTATTAGTGTTCATTACGACAGGACTCAGATGGTGTGAATAATCCAGACTGAGTATATCTACCCCTTCCCAAAACAATGAATATTGTGGAATTTGGGGGTTTTGTTTACTTGTTTTTTATAAAATAGCCTCATTGGTATATAGTTCATATATTATGTAGTTCACCTCTTAAAGCTTATAATGCAATGATTTTTAGTACACTCACAGAGCTCTGCAATCATCACCACAGTTGATTTTCGAACATTTCATGATTCCCAGAAGGAGCCAAGTAGCAGTCCCTCAACATTTACCCCCATGAAACTCCTTGCAGGCAACCACTGATCTACTTGGCTGTGTCTCAGCCCATCTGTGCTGCTGTAACAGATGACCACCGATTGGGTAGTTTATAAACAACAAAAAATCATTTCTCATAGTTCTGGAGACTGGGAAGTCCAAGATCAAAGCACGAACAGATTTGGTGTCTAGTGTAGGCTGCCTTCTGGTTCATAGATGGTACCTTCTTGCTGTGTGCTCACATGGTTGAGGGGGAAGGGATTTCTCTGGACCCTCTTTTGTAAGAGCACTAATCCTGCAATAGAAGTCTCACTTTTTAATTCTATCACCTTTCAAGTTTAAAATACCACTAACATATTTTGGGGGAACACAAACATTCAAACAATGGAAGTCTCTATAGATAGTCTCATTCTGCTTATTTCTTATAAATGAAATTATACTCTATGTGGTCCCTTGGAATTGTCTTTTTTCATCTAGCATAATGTTCTGGGCTCATCCATGTTGGAGTATGTTTGAGTGCTGCATTACTTTTTATTATCCATAACATTCCAATGTATAGATATACCATATTTCATGTATCAATTCATGCACATATGCATTGTTTCCATTTTGATTATGAACATTTACAGTCAAGTTTTTGCGTGCACAGATATTTTACTCCTTCTGGGTATATATATGTATAGAAGCGGAATTGCTGGATGATATAATAGCTCTATGTTCAATGTTTGAACTCTCAGCTCATTTTCTAATGTGGCTGCACCATTCTACACAGCCGTAAAAGTCTAAGAAGGGGTTTAACTTTATTATATTCCCACTGGTTATTTTTATTTCCTGTCGTTTTGATTTAAGTCTTGTTAGTGGTCATGTTGGTGAAGTGGTTTTCTTGTGGTTTTATGGACAAATGGTGTTTATAGCATATACTCTTCATCAGAGTGAGGAAGTTTTTCTCTTATTTCTGATTAGTTAAGAATTTATTTCTTTCTATGGGCAAAGAAATAAATGTATAAATGTATTTAGAATACATTATACTTTTGTGTAACTACTGAGATTATTAAATGATGTTTTTATTCACATGGATTATTACTTTGATTTAACATGTTAAACATCACATGAAAACCAACTTGGTTATAATATACTATCCTTTACAGTTTCTGCCATTTTTGCAAATATTTAGAAGCTTAGAATTTATGCTGATCCAGTGAGGTTATCCCATATTTAAAACATTTTTTTTTATTCTGGCGGCTCAGTTGGTTGGAGCATCATCTTGAATAGCCAAGGTTGTGGATTTCATCCTTGGTCAGGGCACATATAAAAAGCAACATATGAATGTATAAATAAGTGGAGTGAAATCAATGTTTCTCTCTCTCTCTCCCTTTCTCTATCTCTCTAAAATTAATCAAAAGAAAAATTTAAAGAAGAGATTATTCAGCCCTGGCTGGTGTAGCTCAGTGGATTGAACGCGGGCCTGCGAACCAGACAATCGCGGTTCGATTCCCAGTCAGGGCACATGCCTGGGTTGCAAACCAGTTCCCTGCAGGCCAGTTCCCAGCAGGGGATGCGCGAAAGGCAACCATACATTAATGTTTCTCTTCCTCTCTCCTTCCCTTCCCCTCTAAAGATAAATAAATAAAATATTTAAAAAAAGAGATTATTCTGTCTTTGTGTAAAAACGTGTTTCTGTATTTATTAAGTTTGAGGCATCAGTCATGTTATGTATGATAGGTGATGCTGTCATAATAATCAACCTTAAAATCTCAGTGGTTCAAAAACAGTGGTTCATTTCTTGCACATACATAGTAGCTCATTTTGATAATCCGCCAGGTCAGCTCTACTGTATGTGATTACTAACAATTGAAGCTTCATATCAATACATAACTCACCAATCACCATAATCTATAAGAGAAGATATTCAAAGTTAAGCTAATTAAGTGTCCCTCCCAAGATGTGGAACAGGACATTTCTGTTCACACTTCTTCAGCCCATGCAGTCCTGTGACAACGTCAGTTTTCAGGAGACTTGCTGTCCTTCTGGGTTGCTTGAAGGAGGGGGAACCAGATATTAATGAGCAGTTGCTGTGTACTCCATCATCAGCCTTCCACCTGTAACTGAGAATTCATTTCCTCTCTTCTTCCCCCGCAGGAGGCAGGGAGACAAGTTAGATCCCCTTTCAGTGACACCTGATCAATGGCAGGAACTCTGATTGATATCCTATTCTGCTCCCCAGGTCTTGATGTGACTCCTTTGAAGCACTATGAAGAAACAAATAAGCAGAAAACAAACAAGTAAACTGTTTTCTCCACACACTCAATACACAATCATGGAACAGTTACAAGACTGTGTTCTGTAAAGTCCCCACAACTGAGAGTGAAGAGAGACAACAGTGTTGGTCTGAAGCAGGTCCCAGAGGGTCACTGCTTATGGGTTCCTGACCCTGATTTGATGAGATGCTTTCTGCAGGGAGTTCTTCTCACTGTTTCTCACATTCTCTGGCTCAGGCTCTGGGAGAGTCTTCTTCCATGATCTTCTCTGGCCACATGTTAAAGGTTATGCCTCTCCTGGGGGATGGTTCTGTCAGCCCATTTTCTGCCTGGGTTTGGTGAGAGATGAAGAATTATTTTGAATCTCTAATGATCATAGTTTGACTTAGTCAAAACTGCCTTTGGCTGTACAGAACTTTCAAAAAGCTAGTCACCTGCTTATTTACTTGATTCTAGTAAGAGTCATATATTTATCTGTGAAAACTGTATTGCAAACCAGTCTGATCATGACCACATTGTTCACAACAGAAGACTAACCAGGAGGACCTAGACCCTCTTGCTGAGGTCAGTGTTGGTTGGACTGATGCTCACCTGACTCATTCAGCTGCACCCTATACTCTGACCTTGTCCTTCACAGCAACCAGGAAGCTTAGGGCACTAGTCAAGATGTGCTAACTTGGTGGTACTTAAAGTTAAGAAAACTTTCTGCCCTTGCAGACACTGGCCACAAATCATTGTGGTTCTTAGAATTCCCCAAGAGCAGAGTTAAAATGTTATTTGGAATGTGGAAATAAATGTCAGGTTAGACTATGAAAAAAAACTTAAAATACATTTATGTACTTATACATTTGGTTTTTATTCAAGTTTTGTATATAATACATATAAAATAATAAAATGTCTTATGATATTTATCAGAACTTTTAAAGTCAGTGTGACATTGGAAGAGACAATGGGTGGATTCTAGTGATGTTCAGATCTGAATTCCAAAATTTCAAGAGGAGCATTAGAAAACTACTTCTGATTTTCCTGCAATAAATGGGTTCAGTCATCACAGTGTTTAAGAATAATTTGTAAAGCACTTTGAGATGTATTTTAACCTAATATACAAAGATAATAGCTGGGAATCTTGGGAACAATGCTGTTTTATACACTGAGCTCATTATGGGGCATTTTTAATAGAAAGTTTATGTTAGAAGGCCTCAACTGTGCCACCACACACAGGGCCCACCTTCTTCCTGCCTGTGGCTCCTGGGTTTTCCCAGCCTCTGAGCAGGTGGTGTCTTCATGGAGCCAAAGGTTTTTGCTAAGCTTCCACCATCACTTCTATTACTGTGAGTCCTGCTGTCACTTGTATTAGTGTGGGTTCTCGGAGAGCACAGAAGTACGTGGCTGAGTCAGCCAGTCGTAAGGAAGAGATGGTGAGGCTGATGAATTTGTTTGCCTTTTGAAAATTCACAGAGTAACGGCCCTTAATTGCATTTTGGTGAGAAGGGTACTGATAAATAAGGAAAACCATCTCTCCACTGGGAGGCTGTTTGTACCAATACAAATAATAATCACTCCATGTGGTTTCATACTCGCAGTTCATTGTCACAGATTCTCCTTCCTGTCCTGGTACTGTAGTCTGAGCTTGAGTGACTTTCTGAGTCCTGATGAAACCTGTATGAAAAAAAAAGGAAAAAACAGGGTTGCTCCTCTGAAATGTCTCAGTTGGGTTATGAGGAACATATTATTTTATGACCCAAGAACAAAGAAAAAAATGACATGGTGTTTCATTTCCTTGCCTCTATCCCTTTGAATACCCCCACCAGTTAAAACTTTCAAATCCCATCCTTGTCTCTAAAAGAACGCTGAAGCCCCATGTTCAGGGCCACACGTACTGAAGCTAAAGAAGAGCATGAGTGCCCACAGCAGGCCTGGACAGAGCATGGAGGAAAGTCTTCTGGGTGAAGTCTCCCTTGTTCTCATTTTTCCCAGAGACCAACCCTTCTCTGAGTGGGTGAGTGCTCAGATCTGGGTTAGATGTATCTTCCCCTCAAGAGGAAGTGAAGTTCATGAGTAAAAGGTTACATTTGCTCTATTCAGAGACTGACACATCAACCCCTCCTGAATCCTGTGCTGCCTACATAATTTTCTGTAACAATGTGTTTGGAAATGTCTATTATATCTGATCAGGTATATAAAGCTTAATGATTTTTTGTCATTGAATTCTTGCTTGGTACTCTTTTGATCAGAGAGTGTATTCCGAATGATTTAAATCTTTTGAAATTTATCAAGGTCTGTTTTAATTTATTAAGGCTTTTTCTTACTGCTTTATTAATTTATAATCTACATACATAAACCACTCATTTTAAAGTATAATTTCATGAGCTTTGACATATGTATATGCCCCTAAGACTATCATCATAGTGAAGATGATGAACATAGTCATCATTTCTAGAACTTCTGTGTATTCCTTTGTAAACCGTCCCCACCTCCAGTCCTAAGCAATCACTAAACTGCTTTCTGTCACTTTGCATTTTGTAAAATTTTATGTAAAATTTGTTTTGTATTTCCTAGAGTTTTACTTAAACGGAATCATATGAGGACTCTTATGCAATTTATCATTCATCATAATTATCTTGAGATTCAATGAGTTGTTGCAGATATCAACAATTTCTTCTTTTGATTGTTGAGTAGAATTTCACCACTTATGTACTGGCTTTGTCTCCAGTTCTGCCTATTACAAATAAGTCTATGAATGTTCTGTACAAGTATTTGTGTGTGCATATATTTTCTTTCCTTTTGGGATAATATCTAGGAATAGAATACTTTAAAAGTGTGGTATGATTTATTTAACATTTTACAAAGCTGCCAAACTGTATTCAAAATCCCAGTTGATTTTGTTGTGTTGTACATTCCCACCAGCAGAGAGTTCTGTGAGAGAGTTTTAGATATCTCACATCCTTGACAAGTCTTGGTACAGTCAACCTTTTTAGCTTTATCCATTCTGATGAGAATGTAGGGGCATCTCATACATTAGATTTGCTGTTCTGTAATAGCTTATTATGTTGATAATCTTTTCATAATTTTAGTAGCAGTAATTTATTTACTTTTGTGTTCTGCTCTTTCTTATTGCCTGAATACACCTCAATTTATGTTTATTATGCTGTTGATAGAGTTTGGGTTGGAATTATTTGCTGTCTTTTCAATAATTTTTATTTTACAATTACAGCTGACATACCATTTCATATTAGCTTCAGGTGTTCATCCCACTGATTAGACAAGTTACTAAGTGATTATCCTGAAAAATATACTGCTCTGACACTATACACAGTTATTCTTTGTCATGCAGTGTTTGCTCTGATAACTGTGTGGGCAGGTGCCTAGTATTATTATTAGGTAGCAGTCCCTGTTCTGGCACAACTTTCTTTGTAGCCTTAGCAATGTAGAGGAGGCAGGGCGGTATTTCCACACCACAGCTTCCCTTTGTACATAGATGTGAGATTGGGTAAGTAGAGTGCAATCAGAGTGGAGAATGTCCTGGTAACAGAACTTTATAACTGGGTTGGGATAACTTATAGATTATTTAAAATCTATCTGAAGATAACGAAAAATCTTCAGTTTGTTGACTTACAAATCTAGAAATAGTTTAAAAAAATGACATATAACAGTTAGACAGATTATTCATTTATATTTCTATCTTTCTGAGATTGAAATAAACTTCATGGTGTCATTTGTATGTAGAATCTTAAGAACGATTTGAGGTCAGAAAAGTAGTCTATGGCCATACCTCCCTGAATGCTCCTGATCTCATCTGAAGTCAGAAAAATAGAATAGAAAGGATATGCTGCTTGGGGTAGGTGGCAGAAATAGAAAGAGGTTGGAAAACCATAAAAAATAATTAAAAATAGAATTTATTTTATAATATATAATGTAATAAATATATAAAAACCCATGTTGATAAATACTTTGCTAAATCATAACATAGATCATATATCATATCATATTGTTTTTACTCAGTTCCTGCTATTGTAGGCTATATACATATTATGCATATGTGTGTTTATATAAAGTACATATGTAATACATATATACACATAAATACACATAATACATGTATAATCTCTTGTGATATAATGCGTAGGAAACTGACATTTACTTTGGCCAATTTCTGTCACAGCTTATGATGGAAACAAAAGTTGAGAAGATGCTTTCCTGTTTCAACTCTTTCCCTTGCTGCTCTGTGATCACCATGAGAGTGTGCCTGACCCAGGCTGCTGCAGGACTTCTCCTTATCCCAGACGAGGCTGTTCTAGACAGCCCACAGCCAGCTGTTCTTCAGACCTAACAGGGCACTCAGCCAAGCCTGTTCACCTGAGCCAAGTCTAAATGGTCAATCCATACATTTATAACTTACATTATTTATTGTTTTAGACTTGAGTTTGGGAGTAATACACTGTTATTACAAAGACTAACAGATACAGTGGGAGAGATGGGTGCTTAATTGAACAGCCTTTGGTGTGGCTGCTAGGAGGTAAGGACTCGTTACATTACAGTAGCATAGTTAGTCCCTCCAATGACATCTGTGTTGACTCTGTGATTGGATGTCTCGTGGTTACAGAGAGTTGGGATCTCTGAGCTTAGCGAAGTGGAATGACCACTGCAACAGTCTCCTGTGAAGTATGTAGAGCTTCCCAACTCAGGGACCACTTTAAATGGTCAGGATTTTATTTGTGAGAAGATGTCTTAGGAACACTGTTAGCTTTTCAGTGAAAATATTATAGAAATTTCCTTTACATATGTGTATGTATTACACAATCACACACAGTGTATTACACAATCAGTATGTACAAAAGCAATGTCAACATATTTCTTGTCTTTTCCCCCCTGATATTTGGGATCTATTTTCAGTTTGAAATTCTGTTTTTAAGGGGCTGAGAACAATTCTGGCATGAAGAAATGTTTTTTTCACAGAAATTCAGGTTGACTATTTTCCTTCTAGTCATCACATAAATGAAAGCATAGAACCAGTGGTCAGTACATGTTTGACATTAATTGAATCATATGGCCATTGGACTATAGGAAATGGATTTCATCTAGTTGTAACCTGTATTTCACAAATGAAATTTGACTAAGAAATGCCAAAGGTAAAAAAAAACTGACAGTGATAAGAATATAAAATGTCAAGATATTTTTTAGCCCTGGCTGGTGTAGCTCAGTGGATTGAGCACGGGCCTGTGAAGCAAAGGGTCGCCGGTTTGATTCCCAGTCAGGGCACATGTCTGGGTTGCGGGCCAGGTCCCCAGTAGGCGACACATGAGAGGCAAACACATATTAATGTTTCTCTCCCACTCTTTCTCCTTCCCTTCCCCTCTCTCTAAAAAATAAATAAGTAAAATATTTTTTTAAAGATATTTTTTATTAGTTAACACAATCATTAAGGCTGATTAGTGGGAATGGGGAATCTCATGTAGGTAACTTTGGCCATTGAGATCAATTAAGTCTGAAGCTGGAAACTACCAATATACTGGACACCCCTGACTGAATCAACATGTGGGACAGTCCCCACATTGTTTATGTTCTTTTTGTCCTTCAGTGACCTTGGTCTGGTTTTGCACTCTCACCTTTCAGATGTATAGTAAATGCTCAGTCCCACAAATCCATCTCAGCTGCGAATGGGGATATTACCAGTAACAAGATCTTTGCAGCTGACAAACTTTATGCATGCCTGTGTTTATGTTATTATCCACAGGGCAACATGTTTTTCCTGATGGACAGTGTGTCAGAGGTCAGTGTCTTCCTGGAAAATAAGGACACAGTAAGGGATTTACTGAGGCAATGCCTAGAAGTAATTTACAGGTGAAGAAATAAATGCACGAGACATAAAATATCCATCCTCAAATGCATTTAATGGAATTTAATGCATCTTCAAATGCACAGTTACTCAGAAACTATAATTAGGGATCATTTCAATCATTTTACACAAAAATAAAGCACCTGACTGTTGGTAGTAGAAGGCCATGAAACACTCACTGAGACAACTTGCACTAGGACCCTGGTTCCCCATCCCAAATGCATCTCTTTCCAAAGGATAGAATGAAAACAGGGTAACTTCATTCCAGGGATTAGTGGGAACAAAGTTTCACCAGCAATTGCTGCCCTGGCTACCAAGGAACCTCTCTCTCAGGGTGAACAATGAGCATGGTTAGACTCCTGGACACCCTGAGGCTCAGGGAACATTATTAACTCGTTTGGAGGACTTGCTATGTGTTAGTCTTCCTTACTGCTCAGCTTACTCACCTACTTTAATGTGCACCCTCTCTTACTGCCATGTGTGAATGGAAGCAAGTTGTGTGTGTGCAAGTCTGAGACCCCAAGTGGGGTTAGTGTGGTCCCAGCTGCAGGTTTGAGCACAGGCTGCAGGTGCCTGCAGAGCACTGTGCACTCGCTGCACAGAGGTACAAGGCTGCGTCTCCAGGGTACGAGTGCTCGATGTGCAGAGAGAGGTGTTGGGCACTCTTGTTGTGGAAGGCTGTGAATCTTCCCTCTTCCTTTTTATCTGCAACTGAACTTATTGATATCAGGAGTGCAGGACCTTTAGCAGGGTATTTTTTGTACCATGTGAAGTAAGTAAACAAATTATTATTGTAGTCACAGTTCAGAATAGAAGTTCCTCCTTCCTGCACACTCAGGGATGCAGAATTCTGCTTCACCTGTTGCTGCTCACCATTCTGCTGTTGACTATTCACCCCTGTGTGGAAAGAGAATATCAGATCTTAAATTTAATGTTCAAAGTCCCAACAGAAAATCATCCATCACAAGCCAGAAAGGAAAAAAATCAAAATCTCCAACTATCTCATTTCTCAACCTTGTAGTATCCCCTGAAGTTTTTCTACTGTATTCAAACCTCCCACCCCAAACTCACAGTGTGGACGAAGACTGAAAAGCAACAACAAAACCCCCAGGAGCCTGCCCATTTCTCCTGGGAAGCCTGGTGGTCCTGTCTCCTGCCCAGGCAGCTGTCAATCTGACTTCAGCTTCCTCCACCTCATTCATGCCCTTCCACAGAGCCTTCTACTTCACATCTGAACAGCTCTGTTGTTAGCTGAAGTTATTCATATTCATGAAAGGAAGCACTGCCCCCTGTAGTCCACATGCAGCAAATTTCTGAGAATGCGTTTCTGTGCTTCTGGAAGTTCAATTTGTAATTTCTTCCCCAAGTTAGTATGTTAAAATAGGAGACTTTAAGAGATCACACAATTCAAATGTATGGAGATATTTACTTATTGCAAGTAGAAAATGATAACTGAGAATTTAGAGAATTATACAAAATCACATAATTGACACTTTGTCAACTGCCATATTTAGGCAAACAGCTTATTATAAAATATTGATAAGAATTGGTGTTTTGAGGTGGACACATGGAGGGAGTATAATGTTATACTTAATACAAAGGTTACAAATTTAGAACACAGAAAGTTTGATAGCTCTACATTTAATGTAATTATATTTTATTGAGGTGCACAATGTCCCTATATCTTCTGCTTAACTAAATGTCACACAGTAATTAAGTCTGATATGAAACTGGACAACTCCCTCAAAACCCAAGTCAGCACAACAAAATGTATCCTCTGTAATACTTTATCTTCTGTAATAGATCACCTTCTGAACTAGATGATCTCTCTCTCCTGAAAGTTGGATGATTGATGAGTTTGTCTGTATTCTCAAATTAGAAAAAAATAGCACAGCCTTGTGAAGTCTATAGACATTACAATGTCATGACATTTAAAGGTGCCACATAATGCTCCAAGGCTACAATTTTCTTGCCTTTACTCTTGTTTCATATCTGGTCTATGTCTCCACAGTTTTGTCCAATGGAAGAGGCAAGAAGAATCTAGAATGCTTAAAACTGTACATCAGTAGGATGACTCATGATTACAGCTAAGGTAAAGTGCATATTTTCTGGGATATATTCGAACAAACACACAGAACACAGACTAAAATAA